GGAGAGAAAAGGGGAAAGAAGCTGGGGGGGGAGAGACATCCTGCTCCTCTGCTCCAAAGGAGGGGGGGCCCTTCCTCGCTGGATTCCCCCCCCCAGCCTTCCCAGCCTCAAGAGCCACCCAGCTGGTCCAGCTGAGCGGAGGCGGCACCACCCTGGGCTGGGAGCGATGGAGCCCGTGGACCCACAGGACCCACAGGGTGTGTGTCTCTGTGTGTGGACACGAGGAAGCAGGGGCAGCAGCCTGGCTCCGAGGGAGGGGGCAGGGGAGCAGGAGACGTACGCGGGGGGCAGCTCCAGGGCGCTGGGCGGGGGGTTCCAGGTGTCCGGGTGTCCCAGCATCCAGTCCGACCACACCTTGATGCTGGGCAGGAGCTCCTTCAGGTCTGGCGGGAAAGCGGAGACCTTGATGTCGTCGTCCTCGGCCTCTCCCTGGGCCTGGGCCGCCCCTGCTGGAAAAGGGGGGGGCGGGTCAGAGGGCCCCCCCGGGATTGCCAAGGCAGCACCCGGAAAGCCCAGTCCAGGGGCTCCCCAAGGCTGCCCTCGCAAGAGCACAACGGGCCCAGCTGCAGTCCCACCACCAGGCCGCTGGGTGGGGCCCGGGAAGTGGGGGCCCCTCCGCAGCCCCATTCGAGGGTCCTATTCTCCCCCCTTCCTCCCCCCCAGCTAAGTGACACCTTAAACCTCCCTGGATCAGAAGGGGGGAGGAGGGTTTTTCGATTCTCTCCCTCTCTATGGCAGGGGTAGGCCACCTTGGCTCTTTTATGACTCGTGGACTTCAACTCCCAGAATTCCTGAGCCAGCATGGGGGAACTATGGCCCCTTCATGACTCACGAACTTCAACTCCCAGAATTCCTGAGCCAGCCTGGCTCAGCCTGGAAACCTCTCCCTTTCCCCTCAGCATGGCTGGCTCAGGAATTCTGGGAGTTGAAGTCCACGAGTCATAAAAGAGCCAAGGTGGCCTACCCCTGGTCTATGGATTTCTTCCGGGATACTATCCGGGGAGTCCTTGGCTTACGACCAGCCTTGAACCTGCAATTTCTGTTGCTAAGTGAGGCAGTGGCTGAGTGACCACTTTGGCCCTTTTTTATGACCTTGCTAGCCACGGTCCTTAAGTGAATCTGGCTTCCCCACTGAGTCCACCTGTCAGAAGTTTGGACAAAGGGGCAGGGGACACTGGAGCGGCCACCCATTCCACAACGCCCGTTGGCAAGCCTCCGAATTTCCATCAGGTGACCATGGGGTGTGTGTGGTTTTTTTTGTTGCAATGGTGGAAAGTGTGAAAAACGGTCGTAATTCACTTTTTTTCCAGGATAGATGTAACTTTGAATGGTCGCTAAAGGAGGTGTGTGTAACCTGAGGACCACCTGCACTTCCTTTTCACAGACCGGATGTCAAATTCCACCCACGGATTCGGGTGGCAGCCCCAGGAATAAATACACACATAAGCAAACAAGCAAACTGGATTGTCTGAATATTTTTTGGGGTCTGTGAACTGAGTGACACTTTGCAACGCAGACAGTGCCCTGAGCGGGCAGGGAGCAGCGGGTGGGGGGCGGTGGAGAGGGTGCCAAAGGCTTTGGGCCCCCAGGACCCCCCACCCAGGAGGAGGCTCCGAGGCGCAGGGCGTGCAGAGACCCACAAGGCAGAAGCACAAACCGAATGCTCCCCCAAAAGGGGGACCCCCCCATCTGCCTTGCAGGTGCCAGTCCCAGAGAGAGGGGAGGGGGGAGGACTCTCTGCCCTTACTTGGGGGGGGGGCAGCCCAGAGGGTCCCCGGGTGCGCTCGGGCTGGCTGTCCTCAGGCAGACTGGGGGAGCCTCTCCTGCCAGGCCGGCCACCTGAGAGCCACCCGTCTGGCCCGGGGAACATGGGCTGGGGGCCACTTCCTCACGGGGGGGGGGCTCAGGCTGCTGGACGCCCCATGAAAACCATTTTCCACAAGCCAAGCCTGCAGCGGAGGCCAGGGCTATTTTTATGGTGGACCTGAGAGAGCCGGAGTCCACCAACCGGGGTTTGTACGTGCTGGGGTAATGTTCAAAACCCCGGCGGCTTCTTGGCCAAAAGGCGCAAAGAGGGGACCCCGAGCAAGCCTCGTCTCTGCAGAGGGCGAGGGGAGGACGAGGCTCCGGCTGCAGGGCTGGGCCAGGGCAAAATGGACTTGGGAAGCCGGACGTGGCACGCCGGACACCCACTCAGGCGGACATTGAGCAGGGTGAGTCAGACGAACGCAACAAAGCCTGCCCAGGTTTAGGGGCTGGCCTGTTGTGTGACTGTGGCAGCTGGGGCCTCCCCCTCGGCCTCTCCAGCTCAACCCTGGCCCCATGCATGGGGAGAGGCCCCTCTCTCCCGGGGCCCTGGAGAGGTTCCCGGGCAGGAGAGCCGGAAGCAGCCCTGAAACCCAGAGGGATCTGAACTCAAGAGAAGATGGCCTGGGCACATCTGCTGGGGGGGGGGGTTCCTCCCCAAGGCTGGCCCTCGCATCCCCCTCCTGGAGGCCAGGACCGCCATGCTGAAAGGGGGCTGGACGGGCTGACCGGCATCTCCCCCTTGCCCAGAGTGATGGGGATAGCAGTGAGATTGGGGGGGGGGTCTCTGCCACTGCAGCCCTCAGCCCCCAGAAGTGCCGGATGTGCAGCCTGTGGGCCAAAGGCGCCCAGAGCAGCACCTCCTGCACGGGTGCCCCTGTGCCCCCCCTGTGCCCCCCGCCTTACCTAGGGAGACCTCTTGGAGCAGGTGGGTGCAGCGCTTGACCAGGATGGCAAACATGGCGAGGCCCAGGGCGCAGGCCTGCTGCTGGATCACGGAGCGGCAGTCTTCGGACAGGCACTCTAGGGGACAAGCAAGAAGCTGCAGAGCAGGAGGGAGGGAGGGAGGGAGGGGGCCAAGCCCGGGGGTGCTGCCCCCCCAGGTGGGAAGGGAGGGGCTGCTCTGGCTGCGGGACTCCAGCCCATCCCATCGGCAAGTTCACCCCATAGAGGCCGCCAGCCCTCAGCTGCCTAGGGAGGAAAGGGGAATAGTCCCCCCCCACAAGGCCCCACCCTGCACCCCAATGCTTCTCCCTCCAGGTCCCCCCCGGGGTGCTGAGGTGGGGCGTCCTGTGGGACTGGCAGGCTGCCCTGTTCAACTGCCTTCTTAGGGGCTGCCTGTCCTAAGGCCTTGGAGACTTGGCAAGGGATTCTTTAAAACCAGCCCTGCCAGTTGCCTTAAGATGGCAAAACCGGAGGGGGGACCCCGAGTAGCTCCAGAGCGCTCTGACCCCAAAGAAGTGGGGCAGGGACGGAGGCAGGAGAGGCGGTTCCGGCTGGGGACTCTTGCAGTCAACCATGTCGGTCTGTGAAGCAGTCGAAGGGGTGACGCACTGGGACCGCCCCCCAAAATATGGCCCGCAGTCAGCCGTGGGGGGCTTTGCATTACCGTGACTGCTGATTCGAACTCAAGCCAAGCACTCAAGATACGTTACGGGTCTACGGAGATTCTCCGTCCTCTAGGCCCCGAAGGTGCTTTTTCCCCAAAAGGCAACTGATGAACTGAACAAGCTTCTTGGGTAAGAAGTGAAATGTTTTCAAGGAAAACAAACCAAGAAGGTCCAGTTGCCTTTGGGGGAAAAAAGCACCTTTGGGTCAAAAGTTGCCATTTTTTTTTTAAATGCAGAAAAGTAAAAAGTCAGTCCCTGGAGCTGAGTGCCAGGCAAGAGAGGGGGAGCGAAGGGGGAGAGGAGAGGGGCCGGAGCCTGGGAGGGGGCAGAAGGACCTCCCACTGCAGGGCCTCCTTCAGACTGGTCAAATTCACAAGACCGGCATTCAGACATTCAGGTTTTCGGGGCCGAGACACGTTAACTCCCGAGTGTGTGCTCAGTACACAACCAGCAACCCGGACAGACCTTCCAATGCAGTTATTGCACAATCCTGGGGCTTCACCCAGGCTGGCAGCCTGCCCCCCCCTTTCCACCAGATGCAACTTCCGAGACTCTTCAAGGGGAGCCCCACATGGAGAAGCTTGCAGCAGTCAAGACAGGATGTAATCTAGGCCTGGGCCTCTAGCCCTCAGTGGGTGAAGGGGCAGCTACAGCTGGGATCCAAGGACCATCTCCAACATTAGAGGTTTTTAAGAAAAGACAGGACAGCCCTTTGTCTGAAATGGTATAAGGTTTCCTGCCTGAGCAGGGGGTTGGACTAGATGACCTCCAAGGTCCCTTCCAAGTCTGCTATTGTTATTGATTCCAGGAATTGCTGTTGCAGCTTGCCTCCAGAGATTGTGGGTGATCCATCACTGGGGGCTTTTAAGAAGAGACCGGACAGCCACTGGTCTGAAATGGGTTAGGGCAGTGATGGTGAACCTTTTAGAGACCGAGTGCCCAAAAACTGCCTCGCCTCTGCCTCTCCTGCCCACAGGGCCACCCAACACCTCCATGGCCCGCTACAGATCACCCAGGCAGCCCAGCAGCATAATGGTGGCCACGCCCTCCGGCCGTGCCCCACAGCATCATCTGCATGCAACGGGGTGCAAGGGTGGAGTCTTGTCCCCGCTGCCTGGCTACCATGTCCTTGGCTGCGCTGCTTCGTGTGGGCTGTGCTCAGGGGCGACTCTCCTCGGGGGGGGGCTGCTGGTGAGGAGGGGGCCACGGGGAGTGGCGGGGCTGGGGCAACGGCGTGCGTGCCCACAGAGAGGGCTCTGAGTGCCGCCTCTGGCACCCGTGCCATAGGTTTGCCACCACTGGGTTAGGGTCTCCTGCTTGAGCAGGGGGCTGGACTAGAACAGGGGTCCCCAACCCTCGGTCCATGGACCAGTACCGGGCTGCAGCATGCCAGCAACCGGTCCACACAAACAAGCAAAGCCCCATCTGTGAGATGCAGGCAGCACCCCAAACCACGCACCCTCCAGTCCGTGGAAAAACTTCTCTCCATGGAACCGGTGATCCCTGGTGCCGCAAAGGTTGGGGGCCTCTGGACTAGAAGACCTCTGAGGTCCCTTCCAACTTTATTACTATTATTATTACTATTATCATCATCTCCAGATGTCACCCCAAAGAGAGACAACTGGGATCCCTTCCCTTGACACACTGCCAGAGGCGGGGGTGGGGGGGGGCTTTCACCCACAGACTGTTTCTTAGCACTTATTTATTTATTTATTTATTGAATTTATATACCGCCCTATCTCCCTTACAGGACTCAGGGCGGTGAACAGGCGATAATAAAAACCATGATAAATATAGGCAGTTCTAAAATCAAATTAAATAACGGGCCTGTTCTAAAAACACACCCATACAAAAACCCCCACTAAAACATAATCAAACTACGCCAGGCCGGCCGCAC